TTCGATGTATGAGCCGGCTTTTATATCCTCCACCCAACAGGCCGTGGCCAGTGGCCTCCGGGCACACAATAGCAGAGTTTGGTTCGGGGCCCCATGTAGTCTAGGGGTCCAAATAATTACCAATACTATTTGGCGGGTTCCTGATTATGACTATAGTCTTAAATATCCCCCAAAACCCATTCTAATTATGAAGGCCCTTACAGTAAATCCTCGGTCCTAGGCCGCGTAGGGTGTTGCATTAGCCACGTTGGGTTGAAAACAGTTTCAATCAAGCAGAGGTCCATGGGCTCTTCAAGAAGTCAACTGACATCATGTGCCCTTCCGTGGGGCCGGCTCAGGGAGGGTTGGGGCCTGGCGGGTTTCGGATGTTCGGCAGTTTGGATTTCCCCATGGTTGGGGGAGTTATTTGCCCTCACACTAACCCCCAAAAGTATGAACCCTAAACCGTTATCGAAGGACAATGAAGCCCATCCAGCCTGAGTGCTGGGAGGGGGGGGGGGGTATGGGGGGGTCGAAGAGAGTCAACCACTTAAAACGTAACATCATCAGCTTTTTTGTATCCATTCTGGGACCTAGATGCACTAGGTAACCCAAGGCCCTGCGCCGCGAGCTGAAGGAATCGGTACTCGGCCTTGTCAGCAAACAGCTGTCTGCATCCAGGGGGTTTGGAAGCTTCTTCGGCATGCGCTGGATGGCCTGCGACCACTCGAAACAGGAAGTGTCGGACATTCATCGACTTGAAGATGCTTCAGCTACCCCTTGCAAGGCCGCTTGCAAAGTGCAGTAAGGCTACAAGATCGGGAACGCAGCACGAGGCCTCATGCAGGACATCATCCACGCTGCCCTGCGACTTGCCTGAGCACCGGCGCAAAAGGTCCTAAAGCATATTGATATTATATATATATATATATATGGGTGTTGTTCTTTATTAAGGTTGCAGCCCCTAACTCGAAAATCGTCTTGCGCTTCGCCCTTGCGCGCTCTTGCGCGCACACGGTTTTACACACATTCCCACCGTGTAGTAGCAGTAGTAGTAGGAGTAGTAGTAGCAACAGCAGTGGTAGTCTTCCAATATCGCTGCTTGCACAAAGATTCAACCGGCTGGATTGTGCCAGATTGTAGCACAAGATTAGTACTGGAAGTGCCTCGTTCCGGAAGCTGGCTCCATTGTGCCTGATCGTAGTACAACATTAGTACTGGAATTGTCTCGTTTCGGAAGCTGGCTGGATTGTGCCAGATTG